CTGTGCAGCCAAGGCTAGAACTTCAGCAGCAAAGGTGCCTGAGGAGGGCAGTATCAACAGCAAGGTGGGAATTGATAAAGTTCACCACATACAGGTGTGGAGAAGAGATTGTGCCTGTGGGAAGCTGGGCCAGGTGCGAGATTAAGGATCCTGGCTAGGATAGGGCAGAGGAGCAATAGCTCCCCACCCCTGGTTGAACAGCCCTGAAGAGGGGTGAGGCCTGGGATGGGCTGGGGAGAGCGTGCTTGCTAAGTACTCTGAAGGCATGTTCCAAGGAAGGGCTCTGTTCTGGGTGCAGCAGGGTGTAGGACGCCCACAGAGAGCTGGGCTGGTTGGCTGCTCACCGCCTGTAAGTACAAAGTGAACGGCTGACCTTGGACTGAAGCCAGCGCAGCCGGCCCGTCCTCAGCCCTCAAATGGCTGCAGCAACGTTCTTATGATTACTGTTTGTGTGATTACTGCTCTCGACAGAGCGCCCGCCGTGCGAGGCTACTGTTCTAGACACTGTCCACATTATGGCACCGTCATCTCTGAGCAGGTAGTACCCAGCAGGTCCACCTCCCTGCCCTCGATGCCTTGTGTTCTTCCCTTTGGCCAAAATGCTGTGCCCGTCGTCCCAGCTTGCCTGAACTCCACCATTGCCAAAGCCGAGCCCGAACCTCAACCGGCCCTGAGTTCCTTTCGAGGCTTTGGAGCGCTCCTCCAACTCTGGTCTGGAGTTGGCCTTGGGCACGGGCCATACTACCCTGAGTTTCTCCTTTCCCTGGGAGTCGTGCCTCATGGCTGAGCTGCGAGGGCTCCGAGGCCGGGACCACGTGCACTCTTCCGTGGGTCTTGGGCCTCAGTAAGTGTTGGGTGCTGCCAGGGACAGGATTAGGTCCTACTGAAATACTGAGCAAAGTGCTCTTGTTTGAGGTGGTGTGAATGCTTCTGCTGGTGGCAGGGGGCGAGGGGCAGGGGGCAAGGGGCAAGGGACGGGGGCGGGCAGGCAGGGGAAGGCAGACGCAGGTGCTGCTGCCGAGGAGCTCAGAAGTCTGAAGGTGAGTCACTGAACAGGATAATCCACTTCTAAGAACTCTCCCCTGGTGTGTTTGGGTGTTGAGGTGAACTTGTCAACTAATTAATATATGGAGCCTATATCAACACTTCCGTTCTCAACTACTGGTTTAACGTTAAGGACTCTTGCCCTTATCAACGGACGCTAAACCCAAAGGTTGTTAGAATGCTAATCTTTACAATGAAGTGAGGAGGACATGTCACTTTAACCGGCTTACACACCCAACTTCAGACGCGTGAGAGCCCATGAGACTGAGACCATGGGGGGGTGACTGGCTGACTGACGGTTTGCTGCCGTCCCACTGGAACGTGAGCAGGGGCCAACCGTGCTGTTTCCTCTGCCATTTCACACTCCACAGCTAGGTCGTCAGCTCCTGGGACATAAATGTGTTGGCAACTTTACGTTTTTGTTATCCTGAAGAATCACAATGGCAATGTTGGGCGAGGTAAACTTCAGGAATCATTAAAACTTTCCCAAGTAGAAATGATCAGGGTTTGAGAATAGTACAGATTTGAAGGTGTGTGTGTGTGTGTGTGTGTGTGTGTGAAAAATAGAGTGGTGGGGACCACACGGTTGAGGCTGGTTAAAGGTCTCCAGAGTGGGAATCACCGTGAGGCTGACCTGTGCTATCAGGTGCTTGCTCACTCCTGACCCTGTGGGTCCTGGAGCCCTTTCTTCTTGAGATTTAAAGGGAAAAAAATCGCACTGGCAGGGACACTCACCACTCACTCAGTGTGCACTCTCCTGTCCCCCAGCCCCCCGCAGCTCCTGGCCACTCCTGTCACGGAGGCACAACCTAACACACACAGCAGCACTAGGGACTCACTAGCTCACTAGTAACTTACTTAGTGGCTTCAAAGTGTAGCTGAGGCTTGGAAAATGCTTCAAGAATGAGAGCAGCACATTCTTCCAAATACTCTTGACTAGACAAGCATCAACGTGGGGGCTTTGGAAAGACATTCGCACCTCAGCCATCCTCGCCCCCTCGGTCTGCCGTGGTGCCGGGTCTGCTGGAGAAAGCTCACTGTCTGAGCCGCACTTGGAATTTCTTTGTTGGCTGAGGGTGTCCTGGGCTCCTGGTTTGGGCAGTTCACTGCCCTTCCTTCCCTCTCTGTGGTCTGCTTAAGTGGCCACTCATTTACCTGTCCTGAGCAGCCCAGTGACAACCGAGGAGAAGCCCAGAGGACTTGCTGGGGAGCAGAGGGGTCAGACTTGCACCTCCACTAGAGGGACCACACCCCCAGTCCAGGCTTCTGTGCATCTGTTCAGTAGGATGCAGAGCCTGCCAAGGATGCAGGTTTGTGTTTGTGGGTGTCTTTAAGTTTCTTCTCTTCTCCCAACTCAGGGGCAATGTATTGGTTTGTGTAAGGAGTGAGCAGGAATGGTGATTTCAACCCTGCTCTCTCTAGGGGTATTTCGGTTTTACCATCTACAGGTAGCAGCAGGTCCTGGTTTCTCGGGCGCTCTCTTGGCCCCAGACGAAGGGCAGTTTCCAGGCCAAGCCCTCCCATCTGCTCCCCTCCCAGCGGTGGAAGGCCTGTGGGTGCCCCCGGAGGGCACAGGCCCCGGCCCGCCTCTGTTACAGAGACATTGCCCAGAACTGTGGAGCCTCCTCCAAAGCCACTGCCATTCCTGAGCCTTCAGGAAAATTAAAGGCAGCTATTTTTACTCTCGGGCTCTCAGGCCACCCGGAAGGCCTCGCTCCGCTCGCTCGTCACGCAGCCCCACGGGGGCCCTCGCGCAGGCTGGCCTCCGTCCGCTTTCAGCTTGCATTCCCCACCACTTCCTGACGGCCGCCACCCACTCCCTCGCTGCGTTGTTCACTTCGGACTCCACAGGCTTTCCTCTCGCTCTTGCTCATCCCCTCCAGCTGCTGGGATCGGAGGCAGGAACCATACAGACTGTTCTTTCAAGTGATTCTCTCATGTCTTGCATAACCACCCTTCCGAGAGAGAGAGAGACAGGAGGGCCACGTGCTCTAAGAAAAACGGAACGATTCTGAGAAGAAAAGGCCAATGTATTTGGGCCCACAGAGTAACTCCTTGCAACAGACCCGTCAAAGAATGGATGGAGATGTCCCCTCTTCCCATTAGCTGTGAGTGAGATTTTGGTAAAAGATGGTCTTAATTATTACAAGCAAATGACCACCCCAAAGGGGTGGAATGCCATCACTTGTATTCATTCCATCGCTGGGTTTGGGGCAAGGCGGCTGCTTTGCTCTGTGGAGCAATTTTAAAACACTTGAGCAATTTTTCTTTTTTGCACTCCACCGTAATCTCCAGATGTCAAGTGGACGGCAGAGTGTTACTCGGCTCCTCTCGTGACAGAGGGAACCGCGGCAGCAGGGTTGGGTCTGCCGCCCCCCGTCTGCCTCCCTCCCCGGCCATTCTGTCGCCCAGCCTGACCTCTGGGCAGGCTGTGAGTACCTGAGAAAGAATGTTAAATCAGCCCAAGAGACTCCTTCTCAGACGCGCAGAAACATCCTTCCTGGCGGCGGGCAGAGAAATCAGGAAGGAAATAAGAACTAAACGATAGACTCTCCAGAACATAAAACCAGTCACATCCTTCATCTCAGGTGGGAGGAAAGCACTGATTGCAGATGACCGACCAGCAAAGGCCATTGTTTCATTTAACCCCCAAGTTACTCTCCTGTGGGACTAGTAATTCTTTGCTTGGGAATAGTCTTTTCTAGGGGAATTGGTGGATCCATGCGAGCTGCAACAAGGTAATGATAAGAAAGACACCACCAATGTGGACTGGCAAAATGGTTCTTCCAGAGTCACCTGTAATAAGATAAAACCTGGCAGAGCACTGTCATATAAAGCCATCTTGACAGAGCACTAGGAACCTACTTTGTAGGTTAAAATATTTTTATTACATTAACTGGACGGCTCACCCACCTGTAGCAGAGCCAGAGATCTCACGGGCGGTTGGAGCAGAGAACTGTGGGGAGAACCAGTTCCGATTCTTTATTATGCAGCTGAGAGGAGGGGCACCTAGAGAGGGTCAGCGACCCATCCAAGGTCACCTCATCAGTAACAGACGTGACAGGCGCGTGCAGGGCTCCAGACCCCAGCACACAGGCTGCAATCTGCAGCAATGCCATAAAAAATGTGAATCAGACATGTCCACACACGGGCCTCCTGGGTGGACATTGTTTCCACGTCTGGAAATCGTGCCGAGGGGCCGAGGGGTGCGCGCTCAGTAACTGTGCCCGCCTCGGTCCCGCAGAACCCGACTTATGGGCTCCTGCTTGTGTGGGTTCCCAGAGCAACTCAGCAGACGGTGTGTGGGAGAAACAGTGCTGTGAGGGTGAGACTACGGTGACCCTGCAGGCCTTTAACTGAGGGTAAGCTTTTTGTTCTTCCAGGGTCTTAAAAACACCCCATGAGGGACTTGTGGGGCAGGGAGGACACCACACATCTCCCTGTTGAGATGCTGCGGGTGAGCCTTGAGGAGGAGCAGGCATCGGGAATCGACTCTGAGGAGTGCGGAGGCAGGCCTGGAGGTGCCCTTGCCGGCCCCTCTGTTGCAGCAAGAACTTCACTCAGCGTGGCTGCAGTTTATCCCAGGACACAGCTGGAGTGGTTCTGTCATTCAAAAATTCTCCTTGTTACAGCGTCGGGTCAGATGGAAGGAATCGTTGGGCTGTTCTCTCCTCTCCTCCCAACCCACCCTGTGTAAACCTCCGAGAGTCCGGGGGACACTGCCTCACTCATTTGTCCCGAGACGGCTCGCATTCCCTCCACCATCACCCCGGTCTGGTCCGGTCCGGTCCGGTCCGGTCCGGGTCCGAGTCCGAGGGAGGGATCTCTGCAGGTTCAGCCTCTAACCCCAATGTGCCCCGACGACCTGCGCGCACGTTTGCGACTTCAGTCAAATCAAATACTTACTCTGGGTTTCACTTAGTATTTTTAAGCAGTTACGAAGCAAAAAGGCCAACTAGTTTTCAAGTAAGTGACTTTTATTTTTCTCTGACAATTCACAGTCAATCTCTACAAAACTTCATACTTCCTCAAGAGGATTCACATTTGGTAAGTAAGTCTCTACCCTAAAGAATGCATAGCTGGAAAAGCACTTCAGTATCTGCACGAGAGTTACTCTGCTGCTGGAGGAATCAGAGTCAAGTCAGACAATACTATGATCAATAAACAGCAATTAGAGTGTAATAAATTACAAGGTCATTAAACTACATCCCCACATCCCATTCAATCAGCAGCTTTTTCTAGATGTGTTTCAATATTGCCAACAAAACCTGCCAGAAGTTCTCCTAAGGACTGGCTTGAGCTAATCAGGTCGTCTCACTTCCAGCAAACAGCAGCTCTGCCACCGGGCGTCACACGGGACCCAATTCTGCCCCGAGAAGACCATTGCTGCTTACAGCTGTGTGCAACCCGCAAGGGTCTTCCGGGTCAGCTCCCAGGATCCTCCATTTGCTGACCTGGCTCCTGGCCCCAAACGTCTGCCAGTCTCACTGGACTGTCCTTCCGAGATCTAACTTCTCTGCTTGGCTTCACCTGCCTACAGCTCCCCTAGGGCAGGAGCACCCACGCTAAGAGCCCAGAGAAACTGCCAGCACCCATAGCAGAGAAGAGCTGCAAGTGGTGCCGCTGCTTCCTGCCACTCGGCAGTGAGGATCGGTGATGGCTTCCATCATCTTTCACCGGGACAGGAAGGGAAACGCAAACCTTAATCTAGGAAGAAGAGTCCGAGAGGCTTATAGCTCCACAGAGGGTTTTTCCGATGGAATAAATCTGGTTCTCAGCAACTATGTTCAGATTTTTGACACTAAGACTCACGACTCTCGCCCAGGCTGTTCTGAGTGCACCCGTCTCTACAGCTTTGCTGCCAAGCACACTCGATCGAAAAGGAAGCTTCCCGGCGTGGTGCGCAGACCAGAGCTGCTGCAGCTCCAGAGATTTGGGGAGGCACAGGGGCAGGCCAGGGCAAAACTGCTCAGTCGCTGAGTCTGCTTCAAGACACAGTTGCTCTGGTTTTTTGAAACTCTTTCAGAAAGCAAATGGCAGGTAGTAATTCTGCACTGATCAGGAGAGTTCAGAGATTTTACCAAGTCGTTTATTTCTATGTCTGTATCACCTAACTCATGCATGTTTGAGAACAGAGTGTAGGCAACCCAAAGCTTTGTAATTTTTCCACTATGTTAGAGTTACCACTGCCTAGCAAATACGAGCTTTAGCTTCTGTCTGGCCTTAGTAAAGCTTCAAGAACATTTTCCTTGCAGAAAAGCTGGTCATCCAGAAGTTGTTACTTAGATTTTTAAGAGGATGAAATTTTTAAATGAGAAAAGCTTTGCAACTTCACTATTAGAAATCTAGTTGACCTTAACAACGAAGCTGCAGAATGTGCATCACCTGTAAACTCTCATCACACCCCGCATCCCCAGATGAATTTCACAAGAGCAACACTCCCCCTCTGGGTTTGCTGCCAACATCCAACGCACGGAAGAAACACAGAAGACGCTGCCCCGCCGCTGTACCACATCACAGCGTGGCACATGGGAGAAATGAAGGCTCTGGAGGCCAAAAGAAAACCGACAGGATGTTCCCCAAGTGTGTGGGCTCCTATAGCTCGTAACCTCAGGATGATTTTACTCCCAAATCCATCAAGCTTAATAATCACTTGTTCCCTCTTTTAGGAAAAAAAAAAAAAAAAAAGTGGCAGCAGAGGGTTAACTTATGCTACTTACTCTCAGGAACCATGAAGCTATCCTTAAGATGTTCACACGTAAGACCTGGCCGGGTGGCTCCATTGGTTAGAGCGTCTTCCCAATATACCAAGGTTGTGGGTTCAATCCCAGGTCAGGGCACATACAAGAATCAACCAATGAATGCATAAATAAGTAGAAGAACAAACTGATGTTTCTCTCTCTAAAATAAAAAAAATTAACACATAAAACTGGCTGCATTGTTTCGAGAGGAGAAAGAAGAAAAGCACAGAGTGCCAGAATCTTCCCGCTCCTGACCGAGAGATACTGACCATGTCTGTCTTCGGACTCGAAGTCCAAGGAGTGACTCGCCCACTGTGATGCCAGGCGGTGCCGAGCCTCTTCCGCACCTTAAACCCTGCAGCTGCCTGCCTGCCTGCCAGGTTAAGCGAAGGGAAACCTGGTTCGTGATGCAAGTGTAAGAGTGAGATGGAACTGCCCTTTCCTCCCGGCTTTCAGGCTTAGGAAACAAAGCTTTAAGGGATTAAGTGCTCGCACCCTACGCCCAACCTGTGCCCAGAGCATTTCGGGTTCACTCAGATGTCGAGATGCCTCAGGAACGCAGACACACTTCCTCTCACTTTTCTGTAAGACATTCAGGGAAGACCTGTGAAGGGATCCTTATGTCACCCACTCCTGGCCTGACAGGCACCACCCTGTATGCTCATCCATGCCACTGCACCTCTGATCACGGGGGGTGAGTGGGATGGTGGGGGGGCGGCAATGAGAAGGACCTCCCATACTCCTCTCCTGCTTTGCCCCGAGATCCATCTGAGTGCCTGCAGGCTAAGGAAGGGGGACTCCAGGACACCCCGAAGCTGAGGTCCTCAGCAGAACAGACGTATGTAAACTGTGCATAGACCACAGGTTAAGACAGCAGCCAGGTACTGGCAGGTGGCCTCATGAGTGAACTGCTGAACAGTTTAGATTAGAAGGAGAAGCTCGTATACAAGCTTTGGGAAATGGGAGTATGGTAACAGCCAAGGGGTTAAGAGAACCACTCAAGTAACAGGAAGACCCGCCCTCTGTGCTACATGTCTGGGCGGTCAGAGAACGCGTCTAGGTCACTGCCAGAATGACTGGACCCTGACGTGAGGGACGCCTGCAGCTTGGCCCAGGCCTGAGGAGCCCTGCCCTTGATGGCCTCTACCAGGAGCTGCGTCTGCTCCTTTAGCTGGTCTAGCTCCACCTGAGTGGCCTGGTTCTGACGGATCAACTCCTTGGTTTTCAAAGTGATCTCCAGCAGGCCAGACTTGTGCAGGACTACCAGGGTGTTCTGGAAGCGCCTGTGTCTGCTCTGCCGCTGCTCCGCGAAGATATCTGGGCTGCGGCAGAGGTGCTCCGAGGCCCACAGAGGCGAGCCGTGATTAGCTGGCAGCGGTGAGAGCGGGGAGCTGCTCTCCAGCCCATGCGGAGTGCTGTCTGAGGCACAGACAGGACTGGCGGGGGAAGCAAAGGTCAGACTGGGAGCTTTAGCCACGTGGCTGCTGGACACCGGCTGAAGAGTCTGTGGACTTCCACCTGCTGCTAGGGAGGAGGGCGTGCCCTGCAGAGCTGAGTCCTCTGCCAGCTTGGTGCTGGGGGGCACCGCAGGCGGGGGGCTGGAGGACACAGCACCAGTCTTGGCGGGCTCACTGGCAGGCGAGCTCGGCCCGGGCCTCTCGGTGCGGATTTTCTTCTGCGTTCCACGCTCTCTTTCCTTGGGGCTCAGGGACAGGCCCCTTTTGCCCGGATGTGGGGCTATTTTGGTGTAAGAATTCAGAATGGGCAAGTAGTTCCTGGAGTCCGACTTTTTCTCGCCAGCGTGACAGGGCCTGACAGGAGACGGGACGGGCGGGTGAAGGAGCAGCAGCTGCGGCTGTGCTGAGATCACTTCGAAGGAGGGCTGGACGGTCCAGGACTGGAGCTGGGAGGAGCCGCCGCCCTGCAAGCAGAAGAGCAGCACACTGCGCGTTACCCTGGGGGTGGGGGCGGGGTGGGGGGGTGGTGCTCCCGGCTCCTGCCACGGGCAGAGCAGAGAGACTCCTAACAGTTCCAAGTGCAGAGCGCCCCTCACGTCAAGGGCAGCCTTTCTCAGGAACACGGCTGGAGAAGTTGTGTGAGCTCCTGAGTGGCTTACAAACCATTCGGGCCCAATGTCGCCTTTTTTTTTTTCTTTTCCTAAGGGAAAACTGAAGGAAATCTCTATTTTTATTCAAGTGCCATCACTCAGGAACAGAAATTGTAGGTAGGTGAAGTAATGACAGTAAAGGTCACAACTGAGGCAATAAAAATATAAATAGTACAATTTCTTGGCATAAGTTGAAATGTGCTAATCTCGAGATTACAAATGTGACTCCACATCAAAGTCTATCCTCATTTAGTTGCACCTGGAACCTCTTTCACCTGAACACAACTCTTGGTTAAAAAGTTACAAGTTGTCGGGAGTCCACGGGCCCCTTTATAAGGCAGTGACAACCAACAGTGGTAAAACCACTCACGATAATACGGGTCCCCATGCACCGCCGCTTACTGCAGGCCAGCACTGTGGGCGACGCTCCACACGGGCTGTTTCCACGACAACCCCACGGGGCAGCTGCCATTTCCCTCCGCAGACAGGAAACTGGGCTGTGGGAAGTTGAATGACTTGCTTCGAGGGAACGAGATGCTAAAGGCCAGAGCTGGGATTCCGTCCTCTGACTGACTCTACAGCCCACCCTGACCATTTTGATACACAGCCTTTGGTATATTGCTCCTTGAATATATTTTTATTTTTAATTAAAGTACTGATTCAGGTGGAAATCTACTATAATAAAGAAGGGCGTGGCTATCTATTTCCAACCTTTTTTTAAAAAGATTTTATTAGTTTATTTTTAGAGAGGGGGAAAGGAGGGCCAAAGAGAGGGAAACATCAGTGTGTGGTTGCCTCTCGAGCGCCCCCTACTGAGGACCTGGCCCGCAACCCTGGCATGTGCCCTGACCAGGAACCAAAACACCGACCCTCTGGTTTGCAGGCCAGCACTCAGTCCACGGAGCCACACGAGTCAGGGCTATTTCCAACATTTAAAAGCCAGGCCAGTTCCAATCTGGTCCCAAAGATCTGAGTGTGGAGGCCAGGCAGAGAGCCTGCCAGAGGTTCTCATCCTTGGTGGGGAGGTCATGTGATTTGGCCGAAGGAAGCTACCTCCCACCCACGCACACCGCCTTGCACACATTTCAGCCTCTTTGACGTGTGACTAGTAACTTTAGGCTCATCTCCTGGGCAAGGGTTGGGGTGACCTGGAGAGCCCATCCTGGAGCCCTCCTGGTGCTCAGACACACCCCGGGATGTAGGTGAGCAAGCAGCGTGAGGCCGAGCACCACGCCGCCGTGCCGGAGGAGGCCCACAGTCAGCAGCCCTTCCGAGCTCAGCTCAGCTCGGCTCGGCCAGGAGCATGACATCAGGCCAGCCTCCTGCTCGCTCGCGCCTGCGGTGGGTCTACAAGGCAGACGGGCCCAGGAAATCTCTAATCCATGCCTTTCCTGAATGGGTTCCACTGGACTCCTCCTCACGCTGCTGTTCATGCCCACTGCCGTGCTAGATACTTAGCTCACTTGTTCTAATTATTAGATTTCACAATGTATTATTTTTAAGATTCCATTTACTTACTCTTAGAGAGAGGGGAAGGAAGGGAGGGGGAGAGAGAGAGAAACAACCACCTGTGAGAGAGGAACACTCATCCGTTGCCTCTCACGCCCCCAGCCGGGGACCTGGCCCGCAACCAGGCATGGGCCCCGACCGGGAACCATCCAGTGACCTTTCCCTTTGCCAGACGACGCCCAACCCGCTGAGCCTCGCCAGCTAGGGCTCCAGTGTATTGTGCATGCTGAAATCATCTGAGGGAACACGGGACAAGGTTTCGGACTTGGCTGCCATCTCAGAAGCATTTCACATAGGGCCTTTGTGTGGAAGATGAGGAAACTGACGAGCAGGGTGCTTAAGGGTAACTGTGTGCAAGATCGCACAGTGCAGTGGCAGACCCGGACTCAGACCCTCAAAAGGGGGAGATCTGAAACCAAGACATTACACAATACACACGGAGTTTTAAAAGTACATCACTATTTCAATCTCGGAATATGCTGGATTCTAGCCCGTGTGAAAAAAACAAGAGGAAACTCCTAGACTCTGCCATTAGGTCAGCCCGCCCCGAGCCTCCCATCCCTGGCGGCCCAGCAGCCTTGCCCGCGGGTCTTTGTCCCGGAGGAGGCAGCTCCGCTGGGAAAGCCTCCTCACTCCGCAGCTGCCAGCCTCGCCTAGGACAAAGAAGGCACAGAAACACAGACACACAAGCAGCGGCGACAGGGGCGCCAGAGAGGGCGGCGGGGAGAGGAAGAGCCAGGGGAGTGGGAGCCCTGAGCAGCGCGCCTCGGCGCCGGCGGGGTGGACAGGAGAAGCACGTTTGGGCTCCATCTCATGTCTTGATTCTCTCTCTCTCTGTTCAGAAAGCAGAGCTGTTCTTCCCGCTGAGACGTGATCTGCCAAGCAAACATCTTCAAATTCTTTTTTCCAAACTCACTGGGATGCCTTGCTGAAAGTCAGTTTGTGTTCCTCAGAAATAACTAGGGATTGGCTAAGAGGTGAAGGTGTCAGGTCAGGCTACAGGCACGTATGGTATGTTCTTCCGCCTAAGGTGGGAAGGTCGACAATAGGAAGCCGGATTCCAAACGTCCCTGGCTTCAAGCAGCCTCATCAGTGAACCTGTGGACCCACGTGGGAACCGGTATAATTTAGAGCAAACTGGGGTGAGGTTAAGTGTTCTTTAACCCAGTTCACGTGACTAAGTTCTCTTTCAAACATGGGGCTTAGATTTCCATCTAAATCTTCTTGTCTTGCATATCTGGACAATAACCACATATCACGTACAGTTATGTAACAAAGCCCACGGCAGGGTTTCTGAGCTCCATGGCCAAGCTGTGTGGCCTCCGCTGGGACAGCCATCCCCACACCACAGAGCTGCTTTCTCACTGGTGACAGGGCTTCGGCTGATTACCAAGAAAAGGCTCAATGTGACATGAGGGACATGGAAACTGCCTCTACTTCTCAAACAAATAAATGCATCCTACGTTTCTAAATTCCCAGGGCATTTCAAATTAAAAAGAGATCCTTTTGTTTACACCCTAAATTCTGTCACATATTAGACTGCACTATAAGTTACGACATTTCCACTTCCTTCCTTCACACGAGACTAAAGAATTCTGGTACTGCCCTGGCTGGTGTGGCTCAGCTGGTTGGGTGTCGTCCCCTAAACTGAAGGGTCGCGGCTTCAATTCCCAGTCAGGGCACGTGCCTGGGTTGTGGGTTCAGTCCCCAGTTGGGGCACTTACTGGAGGCAACTAATTGCTGTTTCTCTCACATCAATGTTTCTCTCTCTCTCTGGAATCGATGGATATATCCTCTGGTGATGATTATAAGAAAAAAGAATTCCAGTGTCCCTTTGAACAAACCAGGGCTATAAAAATAAACCAATCTCGCTGTCTGGAAAATGAGAACACACGTCACGACTCCTGCAGCCCCTTGACACTGCTGTCGGCGGTGGGGAGAAAACACCCTGCGTTCTGACCGTCTGCCCCGGCACCCTGCTCAGAGGCGGCCTCGGGAGAGAGCGCCCCTCCTCACCTGTCTGACCAGCACGTTCTTCATGACGACCATGGGGGACAGTGTGGGGAAGGCGCTACCAGCCGTCTTGGAGGTCTGCCTCGGCCTGTCCGGCCGGCTCCAGCCCAAGGCACCCAGCACGTCCTCGGAGTCCATCTGCTCGGCCGAGCTCAGACATTCCGAACTCCCATCTGGGGGCAGAAAAACAGTCGGTTCACTCAGGACAGGGACTCTCAGGCAGGCCTCCCAGGGAGTGGTGGGTGGCACCCCTTGAAACTGAGTGGAACCTTCGTGAGATGGGGTTTTTGTACATTTCTCTGAGGACAGGGTTTTTAACTGTCATTGGATTCTCGATGGGATCCTTAACTACCACTGCCACCCCAAGAGACTGACTGCCCTAGGACTCCCTTCCAACCCCCTCACAGGCAAAGCCCTGCGTCCACTCGGGCTCGTGACAGCCATCACCACGGGTGCACAGGGGAACTGGGAAAGGCTTCAAGGGCAGTGCACACCTGTCAAGAAAGTGTCGCTGAGAGGGGAGGGCAGTGTGTGCACGACCTGGGGCAGGACGAAGGCCTCCGAGAGGCTCTGGGCCTCACAGTGGAATTATAAAAACAGCAAAACCAATCTGTAAACCTCAAAACTTACATCCATGCTTAGAAACTAAAATAGCTTCCTTCTAAGTTTTCTAATTGTCAATTCTGGGTACGTTCACCAAAGCTGAAGTTTAAAACGTGTCTGTCTCTGTTGTTCCCTCCACCCGGTGAGGTGCCTCCTTTGCTGGTGCTTTGAGTGCATGAGCGTGCTGACTGGGGGTCCTGCACCCTGGGAGACAGATGCTCTCTAAGGAAGAGAGAGTACGATTGCCCTCTGTGATCCATCAGAAAGTACTCAGCTCCCTATTGCAGCAAACCCTGAGACTGCAGTAGCCCTGGGGGGCCCTAGATGCTCACTAGGCTCTCAGAATAATCTGGATGAGGCAGGACCAGAATGTGACTTTAATTTAAATGAGCACAACTGTCAGAACTCGCATTTAAATCAGAATCTCCAGGGACGCCTTTTAGGAATTCCAGATATTGGGGTCCTCCCCTCAATCCACTGAACGGACTCATCTCGCACCCAGGCAGGTACAGGTTCACAACTGGGCGCCTCTAGTCAAGAACCACTGGGCCAGAAACAAAGACCTCGGCAGCAGAGTGCATAGCTGGTGCCTGGGTCTGGGTTCCTAAATGCCATCCTGCACGAACAGCAAACCAGGGCTCCTTGGATTGCAAGTCTTTGGCAGGGAAGGACATCTCGCTGTCCCGGAAAGCAACAAGGTACTCCAACGCAGATGGAGGCACGTGGAAAAGACACAGGAGCTAACCAGCAGGCCAAACAGGGGGCAATCTGAGTACAGAAAAGAGTAATGATAATGTGTCGACAAACTGGATTACAGAAGAATTCCATGAGCCACTGCAATACTCAAAAAGGGGGTGGAGGAGGGAAAGTGCTTCTTTCCAGAGAACGTCAGCTAATAAAATGCACGAGGACTAATGGGAGTGGATCGCCGTTTTTAAACCACAAAGGCAGTAACTGGTTTGGGCAAAGACCGTAAGTGGATGCTGAAACCACTGGCCAAGAGTTTGCCGGGGACAGGATAGTCACGCCATCTCAAAGTATCATCTCATACCTACCTTGCTTATAATTAATTACTAGGAGAAAAGGGCACTTTTATAATATGAAACCTAGCATGCTGCCTTAACCAAGTATTAGCACTGCCTTAACCGAGTGATCAACCAGAGCAGCGCCCAGAGTAAGCCGCATTTAAGAGTTTCCTTGTGTGTGCAATGAGGAGGATGTTAACAGAAAAAAAAATGCAGTAGTTTGGCAAAAGAAAGATTCATCCTGGTCCTAGTAATGGGGAAGCTACCAGAAGAATCCAGAGTGTGAGACATTCTACAAAACAGGCCTAACTCATTCAAAGATGTCAATGTCATAAAAAAGAAAACGAAAAAAAGAAAGGACAGAAAAGGAAAGACGAGGGAGCTGTTCTGAACAGAGTAAGACTGAAAAGACAGGGCAACTAAATGAAAGGCACCGTCTTCAATAGACTCTGGATATACAACAGACGAAATGACTCACAGCCACAAAGGACACTATTGGGGTGATGGGAAAAACTCGGAGTGTGGACTGCAGGCTAATTAGTAATTGCAGATTACGCCACGCTGTCAGGTAACTGAAGCAATAACTCGGGCGGTGACGAAATCACTGGCACCCGGCCCCGATGTGGCCGGAGGCATTCACTGGGGTCACTTTCTGGAGCACAACCCGTCCGATGAGTTTCACTAGAGCCTGCGTCTGACCGGCACGATGCTTTGTAAAGCTCTTCCACATGGGGAATAGGAAAGCCGTCAGAAGCACTGTCCAGACTCTGGGGCAGAGTGGAAAACAACTGGCCTGACAACGGTGGCAAGAGGAAAAATGTCAACAGTACTGAGAAAAATAGGTGGTGGGATGATGAATGACATTTATATTTTTCTCTGCACGTTTCTACATTTCTGAGCTTCTACAATGAGCATGTATTAACTTCGAGACATGAAACTCAGATGAAAACAAGCACGACATTCAAAGAAAAAACAGAGGCACGAAGCCTGCCGCGTTTCCCAACCCATCTGATCACACCAAGCACCAGACGTTCCAGGCCCTCCCCCAGCACCCTTCATGTCCCGATGTCCCGGAGAGGGGCCCGGGGAGCAGTGTTTTTGACAAATGCCTCAGATGGGCCCCATGAGGAGGCAAGCTTGAGACAGTGCAAAGCGACAGGGAAGAAAAGCCCAAATGGCTACACGCTGGCCCTGCCCTTTCAGGACTGTCCCTTATTCTAGTTCCTGGGTCCGTCGGTGCCCTGTGCCTTTCTGAGCAACGGTCTATTTGTAATTTTCTGCCTACTGGGGGAAAATATAACGCATCAGTCTAAGGATGAGGCAGATCCAGTATTCCTAACAGCTGTACTTCTCACCATAAGCTAAGGAATCAACAGGACAGACTGAGTAGTCTCAGTGATGCCGGATGACATCCCTCTTCCCCTATCTAGGAGAGGGCTCCACCTCAGGACGGCACCCCAGCCAGAGTGCCCTGCATCACTGCGCTGCCTCCCCTGGGCCAAAACATTGCCCCTGGAGCCATAGTCCCATGTCGAGACCACCCTCACACCTGGAAATAGAAGAGAACATCTGCGCAAAACCAAGAGGTTCCCTGGGTGTGCAGCTGGCCCTTTCAGGTAAGACTTAAGACAAACTGCTACGGAAGATCATTCTACTTTCTTGGCCCTGAGGACGCTCAAGTTTGGAACTGGGCCCAGAGGCTCCCAGTCCAAACACAGAAGGCATGGCTCCCGGGAGGGTGGGTTGTAGAGGGGAAGCGTTTTTAAGCAAAATTATGTTCTTAGCAAAAAGGTTATCTTAACAAATGATATGTTACTTTTGTTTAATTTGTTACTTGGAAACCACATGCAGTATTTTCCCTGCAGTGTAACTATTCCCATGAAAAAGCAGCTAAGACAGCAGAATTATGGGTACTGAAACATTTTTGTTCCAGTAACCATTTGCAACAGTTGGGAATGTAAGATTTAAAACTGAGAGTCTGAGTTGAAAAAAGATGTCAAATCATTCCTTCGGAACAAACCCCGCGGGGACTCTGATGGGGACCTGCCACATGGCACCAGAATTGCCATTTTAAGAGATCAGATATTTCTCTACTCTGTGCGTGAGAGCTTCCCATCCTCATCACACAAATGAGTGATAGGGAGGGACTTTTTCAGGCAGATCACTCATTACAATGTAGAAAGGAGGAGGTGTTTTTAACCTGAGAATCCAGAGTCCTTGTCTGACTCGGCAGCGGCCGTGCCCGGTGGACGGGGCGCCTTTTTCACCTCTGCGCCTTTGCCCAGCTTGGCCGGGAGCCTCCGGGGGCTCTCCCTGGGTGGGTTCTTCCTCTCCATGTCTCACTGGGCTGGAGGCGAATGCATCTGGGGTGCCCTGTGGAGACAACAATTACGTAAGAAGTCCAGCCCTAGAGAGTTGAAACAGGTGAGGGAAATGGTGCGTAAGGTGGGTTGCGAAGAACACCGGTCTCACCCGTGTCCTCTGTATCTTCTCGGGTCTCAGCTGAAGAGGCTTCAAGGTTACTCAACACTAGAAGGGCTTCCACCCAGAAGGAGGTCCACTGTCCTCTCCCTGCCCTCAAATTCCATTATGAATTCAAGGCACACAGACCACACTCAGTGGAGGCTTTGTAAACAGCTAACAAAGGCACATTTGATTAGGCTTCTGGGCCGGGCAGGGGGAGCGGAGGGAATGTCCATCTGGGACGAGGCTTGCCTTCCCAGGACACGTTTGTCACCTCCCACGGTGTGGTTTCTCAAACTAACCTTTCACTTCTCTGGGTGTCTTACCAAACAGAGCAAAAACAACTCCTCATATATATGCACACTCCCTTTTGGGCTTAAAAGGCACTTCTGTGCACAAAGAAGGTCAGGAGAATAGTGCTTTGCTTCTATAAAAGCCTATAACATTATTTCTGCTAGTGTTACCTCAAGCCCATAACATCACTGCTGTTAATGTTGCTGTACCTCTCTACGGAGGAGGAGGTTGAAGTTCAGATTAGGTCACACACTGAGTCACTTATAAATGTTTACCAAGTGCCCACTGTGAACCAGGCATTGTGCTAGGACACAGGGTGATACGGGGTGAGCCCAAGAGACATGGTCTACCTTCCTGGAGCTCACACTCTCGAGAGAGAGACAGACATCAATCAAGTAATCACACAATTAGTATTTTGATAACAGCTATGAAGGGGAGGGGCTAACAGTCTAATAGTCTGGGGGACAGGGAAGTGGCATGCAGGTGGGATCTGGGGGACGAGACAGAGTTACTGGGAGTTAGCAGAAGTTCCAAAGTGACCTGGGGGGAGGGGTCTGGGTGGGGCGTGGAAGTGTGAAGGCCGCAAGGGAGACAGAAGCCTGACCTGAACAAGGAGCTGAAAGGCCAGGGAGGCCAGAGCTGGGGGGGGGGAGGAGGCCACGCCCTGACACTGGAAGGGTTGGTGGGGGCCAGACAGGCAGCGCCTTGTAACCCACGTTGTAAAGACTTCAGCTATTAACTTAAGAGTGATGGAAAGTCACGGGAGGATTTTAACCAGAAGTGTGAGATTGGATCTGCATTTTTAAAGCATTTGGATGCTGGACCGAGACTAAAGTAGGGAGAGGCAGAGTGGCGTTGAGATCATCTAGACACTGCTGTGCGACGACACAGTCCAGGTGATGTTATAAGGTGGTGGCAGTGGACGTGGAGAGAAGCAAACAGACTGGAGACATATTTAGGAGGCTGACTGGATGGGGCTCAGTGACTGTACGTTGGGGGACAGATGGTGGTGCCAAGAAGGGCACAGAGGACACGTGGCGGGGTGGCCGGGCTGGTTCAGTTCAGGCCACGTACAGGGAAGCGACTATGGGTCATGCAAGTGTAGACGCTGCCACACGGACCTGCTGGGAGCCCGGGAAGAAGCCTGGATTCGCCCAGGGACACACAGCGCGCCCACGGCAGAGCCATGACTGAGCCGATAGCGCAGGGAGTTAGACGAACAAGCCCTTCCAAGGGCTGGCAGGGGCTGAAAATGGTCCAGATATTTTCACCAAGCCACCTGAGGCACTGGGAACCGGCGACAAGAACACAGGGACACAACAACAGGGGGCTGACAAGGACAGTGACAATAATAAAACTGGGTACGTGCTGGTCTGAATGTCTGTGCCCGCCCCCTCAAGTCCACGTGTTGAAGCCCTAACCCCCAGGATGAGGAGGTGGCCTTTGGGAAGTGCTGAAATCATGAGGGTGCTGCCCTCATGAGCAGGATTAGAGCCGTATAACAGAGGCCCCAGAGAGCTCCCCAGCCCCTTCCACCAGGTGAGGACACAACGGGAAGTCCGGGACCCAGAAGCGGGCCCTCACTGACCATGCCAGCCCTCTGACCTCGGACTACCAGCCTCTAGAACCACTAGACATAAATTCCTGTTGTTTATGAGCCACCCAGTCTGTGATATTTTGTAATAGCAGCCCAAGTGGACTAAGGTGTAAGCAAAGCCTAGTGACACTTGAATTCATAATCCACTTTCAGCTCCATCCATTTGCCCCAGGGACAGAGGAGCATGAGCCCCCTGCCAAACAGCAGTGTGTCTGGAATACCCTGAAATGCCAAGTCTGAACATTTCTGCTAATACGGGATCTCGTGAAGAACGTCAGCTACTGCAGAAGCAGAGGAGGGATTCCAAATAAAATTAAACGGAAGACAAGGATGCCTGTGAGCATCCCTGAGCAACCCTCTTGCTCATACTTTTGCATGCAGTATAAATGGACCAAAGGGAACACATCAATCTGAATGAGACGGAATTTTAAACACAATCCCAAGCAAAAATTATTTTGTGCCTTATCGACCTCACTTAAGGGAACCGGTTTCCCATGTCACACTAAGCACTCTTTGACAGGTCAGAGGGTTGGCCCTTTGTGCACAGAAGATAAACAACTGCACTGTCCCGTCTCGCACAGCATTACGCAAAAGCAACATCTCCCTGTTGGACAGCCAGGCAGGCCGACAGCATGGACAATACAGCTTTAAAAATAGACTGACATGTGAAAATGTATCTCTAATTAAGTCGTAATCCTTCTATGTGAAACCCAACAAACATGCATGGTTTCATTTCCCTGAAATAACTCTACCTGAAAGTGAACAGGAGTAGCTGTTCAAAACGGAAGTAGCTGTAGCCTATGGATGGGCCATCGGACTTATTCGGGTCTGACCCTGCTGTTGATTTAAATTAGGAAAGATGCTCATGTCAGTTGCAACTGATTAAGAACCCGACAGCCCTGGCTGGTGTGGCTCAGGGGGTTGGGCGTCGTACTACAAACTGAAAAGGCACCGGTTTGATTCCTGGTCAGGGCACATGCCTGGGTTGTGGGCCAGGTCCCCGGCTGGGGGTGTGCAAGAGGCAACTGAGTGATGTTTCTCTCACACACTGATGTTGCTCTCCCTCTTTTCCTCCCTCCCTTTCCCTCTCTCTAAAAATATAAATAAATAAAAGGACTTGGCAAAGTTTCCCATTATCTTACAAAATATAAATTATGTTCCAGGTTTTTAAGATAAAGCATCCCAGTTTAGTTTTCTACAACCCTTGTGACAAGACAAGGTCTTGCTGCTGATATGAAAGAGCGGTTAGCAGAGCTACAAAAGATACACAGGAATTTACTCTGGCCCATCAAAGACCTGCAGGACAATACTGATGGTGGAATCAAAATGCTGAAACACTGACAAACTGGTGAAAAGGAAAACAGACGCCAAAATTTTAGATCCTGGGGAACTGGCGGCAGGTGGAAGTAAAAACCACACAGTCCGCTTGAGAATAGCAAGTGAACTACTCTGGATGCGAAAGTGTCTAAAAACGTGAAAGCCTCCGCCCGCAGTTCTCACTGCAGCAGAAAGCTTTAATGCTCAGCGGCATCCAACAAAGCTGGAGAAAGCGGGGCTGCCTCCCACCCTGGCCCCTCTGCTCCGAGAGGGGCACTTCCTTCCTGGAAGTGGCACTGAGGACCCAACCAGCCCAAGAACAGCAGACCCACTCACATGCACACAGGCAGCAGACGAGGCTCTCCGCAGGAGGGGCGAGTAATGGTGTCTATTTCGGCGCTCTCACACCCAGTGCCGCAAGGACGGACGGCAAAGTCCAAAAACCTCAGAAGGGTTTTTCCTTCCTCCTCAGGGTTATTTTCCAATAAAGACAGATGCTCATGAGCTGACGAGGGGTTGAAAATGAGTTACCACGCTGTCACCCACTGTGTCATCTCTGCTTCCTGGCACAGACTGGAAACCACAAAAACCGCCTTACAAACATGGCATATCCTCAGGTGCCTGACTCTGTTAAAAGGACTCCACCATGAGCTCCCCAAACTGCCAGGATCAACCCTAACTGGGCCTCTTGCTAAATGCATCAGTAACGCAGGGTCCAAAGGTCCAGGGAGAGAACAGTACGTGCTAAAACTTATCATGAAAGTGAATGCAAATATAGAGGTTTATACAAACAGGTGTAAGATAAAATTCTAACGAGTGCTCCACAGCACTTGGCTCTTCTATCTTTGCACTTCTACCACTCCAGCTAATTGTGTCTCCTCAGCATCAACAGTTTGGGTTTTGTGGGGGTTTTTTTTTGTTTTGTTTTTTTTTTGCAACCTCAGCCCCCAACAATATGTATGAGGGACTCAAGAGAATAATTAATTCCTACAGCTCTTCTGGCCTGCTGAGCCTCACTGACAGCCCCAGCAGCTTAGCTGCCACTGAAATACCTGAACAGCTTGAAGGTCAAGATTCTGCATTTCCAAACACCACCGTCACCTCCACATCTAACTTCCAGCTCTGGCCTCCTGCAGGAGGCAGATCTCTCATCTAGCCCTGATTCTCAGAGGAAAACTCAGGGATAAATAAATTCATCAACCAAACTAAAGGTTGGGTAACCCCAAAACAATCTCTATGATGATGTAGGCTTATGGTAAAAAGGAGACCCGAGGTTTACAGGAAAGGATCTGAAATGCTGCTCTCGGATCTCTCCTTTTATAGATACTTGGCAACTTTCCCGGGAGCTCAAGTTCCCTTTAAAATGTGTCACATGTATAACACGCGTGCATGCACCGAGTTGTGAGGAGAAAGCCCAAGCAGAGACTTAAATACAATAAAGTGACAAGGTCATAAAACTCTAAGACCTCCCCGCCCAGAAAACCATGAGTAATCCCAGTTAGAATTATAAATACATTACTAGGTTTTCTCTGAAGTCATTTTCTCTTGGTCTGCATGTGTGAAGATACCATCCCGGGGAAATGTCTGTGTATTATAACAGGGGAAACGTCTATTATAACAGAGAACACCCCCCACCCCACCCCATCTACCTAGGTCTCTAATATTCATCTTCCCCTTCACATCCATTTTCATTCTTCCACTTGGCTGCAAAAATCCATGTCAAAGGTGTTACACCCGGATCCCATACAATGTCCTCTGTTTGGCACCTGGTATGGCTCACTCCATTCTCCTCTCCTCAAACTCCCTGCTTCCAGCAGGTCCCACAGTACCTGCACCCACCTCCCCATCCGCTTCAGCCAAGGCTGCAGCTGTGCCAGGCGGCAGAAGCACTCTCCAGGCAGGCAAGCCTGCCAGCTGGGCAGGGCGGAACTGGGCAGACCCTACTAGGACGGTGCTGTGGCTGGCATCCCACCAGCCTCCCGGGGCGAACGCCCAGGCGGTGCACACTGCCAGGACTTGGGCAATAACGGAGAGGCTGAATTCGGGCTGCACCTGGGCCTGGATCCGAGCTCTGCTCAATCCACCCACCAACCCCTTACTTGGTACTCCTTCCCCATCTCCCCGAACCCTGGCACCCTGCCCGGCCGGCTGGCCACCCAGGGGAAACAAACCAGCCAAGTGAGGGAGTGACAGCAGGTCTCTGGAAAAGGCGGCACACCTGTGCCCCGGACCCCTTAATGGGTTACCAGCTCCCGCACCCACTCACCTACCCCGTCCCTGCCCCTCCGTTCACAACTTGGCAGGGGGTCTCCAGGCTCTCCCCCTGCCCGGAAGCCCTGCAGGCTGTTAACCCCAGAGGCCAGGGCCCACCTGCCCTAACGGTCTTACACCCCTGGCACCTCACACAAGCCCCCTCTCAGGACACAGCCCCGTCCTCACCCGTGATTCCTTCCCCCAGGCGGTACCACCCCTCACAGCCAAACCAACCAACTCAGTGGGAGAGGTACGCACAGCATCTGATCCCACCATTTGGCCTTCTGTGCCCCAAAAGTCCAAGTTGCCCCTCTTGACTACCTCGCGTCCCTCTTTCCCCTACTCCCACCTCCTCTCCCCACGCTCCTCGCTCAAACCCTCTCTTCGTGCGCCCAGACCTCCTTTCTCACCTAGGGCCGAGGTCGCCGCTTCACGACCAACCTGCGGGTCAGGTGGCGCATGCGCCAGCCCGGCCGTGCTGCTCCATGACAACCCAGTAGGCGCCCCGTCTCCAACAATACCTCCGCCCCCCGGCCTCCCGCCCCTTTCTCCTCCCTCCGCCCCCGCGGCGGCTTCCACCAGCCACGTGATCCGGCTCGGAGGACCCAACACCATGGAGACTGCCCGCTGTTATCCTAGAAGGGCCCTTGGAGGCGCACCCTGTTCCCGCCTCCGCCGTAACGCGAGCTCCGCACGCCGCTCAGGGAGCACCGACGCCCCGAAGAGGCTGGCACTCTCTCCGCGGAGGGCGGGTGTCTCTATGGTTATTTCCCAGGCCCTGTCGCCATTTTGTACGGGGTACTTTGATCTTTGAGCCGCTCGGGGTACGCTTTCCAGACGGGGTTTGTAGAAGGTTCTTGCGAACGTGGCAGGAGGCATGATTCTCTTGCGGGAGCGGGTGGAGATTGGGTAGGGGAACCGGCTCTCGTTTTGGACGCCACAACACCGCCAGGGGTGGGGGCCGGGACTGGCCATGCCGTCTGGCACGCGAGCGCGTGGCAGCGGCGTCCGGGTGGGAAGACTGGCGGACAGCCTCGCAGACGCTGACGCTGGATCGGAGGGAGGCGTGCTCTGACCGCCCCCACGCGGGTCACGTTTTTGCCACGCCTGTCTAGACGATTGGTTTGCAAGCCGTGCTACTCCTCCAGACGAGGCAGAAATGCAATCAGTATTTTTGTTGGATGATTTCATGTCATTAGGTGTATGACTCACTTTGTCCCGTGGGACTGCCCGAGTTGCTGCGTTTTATATGGGCGCTGTTCTCACGCCAGCTCTTGGTGAAGCTGCACAATGAAGACATCAGCAACCGCTAAAGAAAGGGGTTGGGATCGGTTGAAGTTGTGATGCTTTGAGTCAGTGAGAGTTACTTCTTGGTTTAGAAAATATTCCTTTAGTGGGGAGAAAGGGACACAATTGAAAGAGGCTGACAGAAGAAGGCAAGTTCTAGAGCTGCCCTGTCCAGTAGAATAGCGCTGATCATTAGAGGGTGTTGCACTCATTTAAAATGGAAAAAAAAACAAAAACCCAGCTTCTCAGATGTTCCAGCCATATTTTAAGTCCTCAATAACCACATTTAGCTACCTGGTCTACTTTATTGGACACCCCAGATGATAGCGCATTGCCAGCATTGCAGAAAGTTATACTGGACAGCCCCAACCTGGATGTCGGGGCTGGGTGAACTGGCCCTATATAGGTAATCCAAGTCCAAGTGCTGCATTACTAGGCATGAATGTATTTATCAGCATAAGCTCTATCAACAAATAATTGAAAGCCTACAGCATGTAAGGCTTTTGCTTAGGGGCTGTAGGGAGTGCAAATGATAGTTAACTATCAAGTAATTAAGAGCTGGGCAACTTTACATGTATTCCCTTGTGATGCCTGTACAAATTATGAGGTTGGTGCTGTTATATTCAGATGAAGTTACTGAAGTTTATGTCCATGAAATCACACCTACTCAGCCCGGGATCCTAACTATTAAGCCATATGGCCTCTTTTTGAGGCAGAGTAAGAGTCTTTGCTTCAAACACCTTAGAGTCGTGAGGGCTTTCAAAATGGCAGCCAAGTAGGTGGTAGCTACACTCACCTCCCAGGACCAAACTGGAATTACAACTAGTACATAGAGTAATCAACCCAAATAACTTGAATAGAGAGAACCAAGGATTTACAGAAGCAACTACAAGGAGACAGGAAGGGCAGAGATGTGGAAAGGGCTGACCATCGCCCCCCCCCCACCGCATGGGCCAGTGCTGAGATTCCAGAAGGATATTTCTACTGCAAAGGTTTCTATTGAGTAGAGGGGGGGTCTCAACCCCAAGCCAGTCTCCCCAATCCAGAGCACCAGAGCCAGGAAGGGGTGCCCACACATCTGCCTGTGAAAATCAGCAGGGATTCTGTCCACCAGGGAGAGACAGAAGTCTGCTGGAGACACAGGAGCCTTCTTGAAGGGCCAACTCACAAAATCTCATGTACAGCCATTCACTCTGGGCTCTGGCAGAGCAGGCTAGAGTAGCGTGAGGAAAGACGGGTTTGTGGCTCTGGGGAGAGAGCTGAAGGGACAGCTGCCAGGATCTCTGCTGAGTCACTCTCCCACATCTTGACTGGGTAGAGAGCATTCCCCTCCATGTGGCATCAGCCTGGGGTAATGCAACAGCCCCACCCTCTGGGCTCCCTTTCACCCCGCCCTATGGAGCATGCACCCTGCTGAGGAGACAGCTGCCTGGGCTGGTGTAGAAGTCTGGGCAGACTAGGGTGGGGGGAGGGGGTGTTAGTTACTGAGTAGTGTGGTTTTGAGGAGGGGGCCAGTCCCCCACTGACTGGTGCCTCCTGCTTATGGGAGACTTGCTAGCCCCACCCTCTGGACTCCTGGCAGCCCCACCCTCCTGACTCCTTGTGGCTCCACCCTGCTGAGCTCTGGGTAGAATCTGGGACAGAGGGAGTTGTGTGGCTCTAGGGTGGGGCCCCTCCCCCTCATGGGAGATATACTAGCCCCATCCCCGTGACTCAGTGGCCTCATCCTGCTGAGACTCGGCTCCAGACAGAATCTGGAACAGACTGAGTTGTATGGGTCTGGGATGGGGTCATTTTTCTCTCAAATGTCTGATGGTACAGAGCCCTCCTTTCAAAAGGCCAAATCTTGGTCTGTTCAGGCCTAGTAAACTCTGCTAGCCTCACCCAGGTGATTCCCTGAGACCCCCTTGCCCCACCACAAAGGTGTGCAAGCACCCGGTGGGTGGCAGGTAGATTTGGTATACTCTAGGACATTTGCTCAGTGGTCTCAGATTCAGCACTGGCCCCAAGTTTAAACCTGTATCAGTCTGGTGAACACCACTGATCCCTACCTGCTGACTCACTGATGACATACCTTATGCAACTCAAATACAACCAGGGGCTGTTTCGGTGACTGAGCCTAACAGCAGGCAGAGGTGGATCCCAGGGTGCCTTACGACTTTAGCTGACTTGTCCCTGGGTTAGTGCTTTTAAAAGCTGGCATTGGTACACAGCTTGATCCTCTCTGCACATACTCAGGGCCAGCAGAGGCAGCCACACACTGTGGATTGCTCTGTGGCTCCAAACAGGTTGCCCAGGGCCAGTCACAGCAGCGTCGGACATTGGTCTGCACCAGTTTCTCCCAAGAGGCTCCAGAACCAACACACCCTGTGGCCAGCTGTAGACATTAGAGCAGGATCCAAGTAGCTTCACAAGTGGCATATCCAAAGAGAGATCTCGGCAGGCACCGAACCCTGCTGAGGCAAATTCGGCTTTGTGTGGTCAGAACCACCTGCACAGTAGCTGATACAAGGTGGGTGGGGTTGGTCCTCCCAGTCACAGGGCAATAGCAATCAAGACTCAGTTACAACCAGGGGGCCCGCATGACCCACACGAGAGAACTTCCTGGAGCATCAAGGAGACTGTCACTAGGTCACAAAAGACCCTTACTATATAAGGCCTCCCTACCAAGACAGGGAATCATAGCGGATTTCCTTGGTACATAGAAACAAATGCAAACAGGCAGCCAAAAGGGAGAGACAAAGAAATATGTTCCAAATGAAAGAACAGGAGAAATTGCCAGAAGAGCTGGGTAAAAGGTAGGCAAGCAATTTATCAGACATAGAGTTCAAGAAAAAATGGTTAAATGATTATAAGGATGCTCATGGAACTTAGTGAGAACTACAAAATCATGAAAAAGGACATTGAAACCAGTCAAACCAGTCATGGAAAAAAAGAACCAGTCAAAAATGAAGAATGCAATACCTGAAATGAAGAACACACTAGAAGGAATGAACAGCAGATTGGACAGAGCAGAGGACTGACCAAATCAGTGATTTGAAAGACAAGGTGGCAGAAAACACGCAATCAGAACAGCAAAAAAATTTTTTAAATTTGAGGGTCATCTAAGGGACCTTTGGGACTACGTGAAGCTAAAAAACCTGCGCAGCATCCACATCCTAGGGACACCGGGAGGATGAGAGGGAGCGAGGGATTGAGAACCTATTTGCAGAAATAATGAGTGAAAATGTCCCTAACCTGGCGGAAGAAAAAGACAAGTCCAGGAAACAGAGTCCCAAATGAGAGGTCCACACCAAAACACGTAATAATTAAAACAGCAAATACCTTAGAGTCTGATATGGGAAATAAAGACATTATAATAAGCACTATGACAGAGAATGTACCAAGTGCCAGAGGATTCTGAACAAAATCTAATTAATAAAATCAAAGGAGTAAAAACTAACCTTCAGCTTGTTTTTTGTTGTTGGCAGAGGAAGAGACCAGGAGGTAAAGCTTTAGGAAGGACAGATGAAAGTTGGGTTTACAGTAACAGAAGTGGTTGAGAGTATAATGCATACTGGACAAGAGAGAGTAAATAAAATAAGCAAAAGCTTGAGGGCTATTTTAGGTCTCCAAAGGTGCCACGGAGTCAAACCTCCTTGAGTTTGCCTATCTCAGGAGCACACAGCAATGCTACATGAAGAACTTGAATTTCAAAGACAAGTTTGGGATTGGGACCAATTAAATCAGGCCAGTTGACTGCTAGCATGATTTTTATTGAGCTACTGTATGGTTCTGTATAATTAAGCAACTCATGAAAATGGATATGTTTCTATGGCCAAACCAATGTAAAAATTTTTCTCCCTTTCTTAGTTAACTCACCAGGGTTTGGAATCAGCTTCTTTGTTGATAGTTTCCTGTTGTCATAAGTTCTTCCATCTTTGCTGTCACACTCTTGTTTAGGCTGAGGTTCCTATAATGGAGAGTGGGTTTCAAAGCATCGTTTCTTCTTGCTGTGGAGTCCTTCCCAGTTGAAGTCCTCAGTACCAGTTGTGGTTAAGACCCATTTACCACCACCACCGCCAGCAGGGGGAGACCTGCTCCCTTCAATGCCACGCTTAGGGATTTATTTTCCTTTCTACTGGCACGGAGTGCCACAGGGGAGGTCAGAACCCGCACCTCCACGGAGCCTACTTCATTCAGTTGTTACCTGCCGTGTCCACGCCAGG